ACAATATAATGCCATGAAATACATGTTGTAAATTAGGTTAAAAACACTTACTTTCGGTGTTTTTCCTGTTAACGTTACAAGCAAACCTCCTCGTCGTCAGCTCCGTATTGAGTCAAAGAAGATCGTCGCCTTTGAGAAAAGTTTCGGCTCGTTTAAGCGCGCAAAGCATTTAAATATCGCTATAAATCAATATATTATAAAATACATATTGTAAATTAGATAAAACACTTACTTTTGCCGTTTTCCTGTTAAAAAGCAAACCCATCCTGGTCTGATCTGCATCGCGCGTCAACGGAAATGCCCCCCTGAGAGCGGTTTAGCCGTGCACAGCACATACACATTGTTAGAAAACAATAAGACGTTATAAAATGCATATATAAATGCGATAAAACACTTAATCCATGCGTTTTCCCTCGTCGAATGCCTTGCATCGCGAATCAAAGAAAATGGCGTCTGTGAAAAAAGTCTCATCTCGTTTCGTCGCGCTCAGCGCGTAAATGTCCCGGATGTGACTCATCACAGTGCTATTTAGATCAGAGGGTGCGGCAAATTAACAAAGTTGAGTCAAATATGTTACTAGAACAGTGAATAAAATGTTGGAAATTGGCTGAAATATATTTTTGTATATGTGACATGAACTCTGGTGGTGATATGCATAAGAATCACTTCGACATTAAGGAAAGTTTTATGTTTGTACTAGGTTAAGAATAGTATACTAAGTAGCCTACTGTGATAAAGTTTAGAAAAATTGTCACAAATGAAAATGAAATCTGGTGATGCAGAATTTAAAATAAAAAATTATTGATATGTAAAATATTCAACTGTATCTTGTAGAATACACTAATAAATAATTTTTGTAATTAGAATGTGTGCTTGTGTGTGTGTAGTTTTAAATATTGTGTTTCATCTAATGTTGATTATACAGTATGACCATGATTGACTAGGCATAGGGCTCCTCTTAGGGCTCCACAAGACAAGAGCAAGAGCATGAGTGAACTGCAGCCTTGCACTGATTGGTAAACTGCACTGTGTTTTATTAGTTCACTTTAAATAATAATAATAATAATTCTGATAATTTACTCACCCTGATTTCATCAAAGATATCCATGTCTTTCTTTCTTCAGTCGAAAATAAATTAAGGTTTTTGAGGAAAACATTCAAGGATTTTTCTACACAGAATGGACTTCAATGGTAACCAAATATTCAAATGTTCACAGAAGGTTCAAATGTCCGTCTCAATGTAGCTTCAAAGTCTCGACACGATCCCAGTCGAGAAATAAGGGTCTTATCTAGTGAAACGATCGGTCATTTTCTAAAAAATAAATAAATATATATATACTTTTGAAACTTCTTTGAACATTTGAATAGTTGGTTGCCATTGAAGTCCATTCTGTGTATAAAAAAATTAAGAAAGAGAGACATGGATATCTTGGATGACATCAGGGTGAGTTTGAAAGTGAGCTAATACTTTAATACTTTAAGATATATGCTGGACATGAATATTAAATTAGCATTATTTTCCTACGTTTTTACATCAAGAAAATCTATATGGCTTTTGTACGTAGGACATACAGTATATGACATATATCATTAAAAATACATTAATATTATGCAATTTATATATGTGGATTTTGCAGCATATATGTCCCTTACAATATTCTGTTGGAACATATAAGAATCACAGGTGTTTTTAGCAAACCTTTGTAAAGACTCATGGGTGGATCCAATCCGTGGGGAATTTGCATATCATAATTAATAATTGGTAATTAATAATTATTCATGCATGTTTGGATTAGATCAGGATAGATTTATGTTAATAAATAGATTTATGTTAATAAATCTCCCGATAAGGGAGGATCTGTCATTTTACCTGCATGCATGCATGTGAATCCTTGAAATTAACCACAAGTTGATTGCAATTAATTACACGGACCACGTTTCACAAAACAGGTAAAATGAATTAGCTCAATTGTCAGGATAATATTTTTGGGGATCCACCATATCATCTTACTTTATAGGATTTCAGGAAACGCAATTCTCTGGCCAGAAGAATTGGGTTTCCCACCCTATAAACATAACACATACTCTTTAAAGGGGTCATATAATGCCATTTTTGTACAAGCTAATATGATTCTTTAGGGTCTAAATTAAAAGTTTGTAATATACTTTAATTAAAAATTCTCATTAGTATTGTAAGAAAACACTTATTTTACCTGGTCAAAAACAGCTCTGTTTTCAGCACGCCGTTTCAGTGCATATGACTTTAAATGATCATGAGCTTTGCTGACTCCGCCTCTCTGTTCTGTGTACACCAGAGCTCTGGCGTACACCATTTGTAACTCAATAACCATAACGCGTTGTTCAGTATAAACGTGGGATTATGAATTATATTGAGAACGTCATACTACATAGAAAACATGCCACAATGTACCCTGAGTGTAAACCTTAGACGCATTCATTGTGAAGCGTGCAGCTAGCGATTTGCAAAGATTAATATATGAATATAAAGTTTAATAAAACGTTACACTCACTTCCGTTCTTCTGGAGATTCAGCAGGAACACGAATATCTGGTAGCAGCTACCAATCCATTTTTCATGAGCAGCAGCTTAGCAAATCCAGCTTTATACTGATCCTCGTCTATAAATCATTGACGTTGCTCGTGGGGAATATTCCCTTCGAAAACAAACACAGCCACTGCGTCTTCAGCGGTTCGGATTTAGGAACATTAAAATGACTGCTGTGTTCGTTATTACACCCAAGAACAGAACACCACAATCGCTTAGACGCCATTCTGCTCATAGACAGTGCTCCAGCATATCAACAATGACCGCGCCGGTCCGCGCAGACTATGATTGACAGCTCTCTCATGGAGCTGATCTCACCCGCGAGGGCGGGTCTGTGTTGAGACGCTCCTGTCAATCAACAATCGTGGGAGGGGCTTCCGAGCGTGTGACGTCACACGGTCGAACGGCTCGATTTGAGGCAGGGGACTGCCAACACACATTTCAGTACAATCAACTTGTAAAAGTGCATGCACCATTATATGACCCCTTTAAGGTATTTTTAATTTTAGTAAGCTTGTAGCATAAGATCTTTGGCACTTAAGGGACTTGAAACTGAGCAAAGAGACAGTACATCAATCAAATGAATATATAATTAATTTAATAGAGGCATGACTACTTATGTATTTACTACGGTTACACGGGATATATGTATTTACAAACACATATACATCAATGTACAATACAATAAGACATCAATGAACGAGAAATGCGTAAAGTTTGGACAATGGATAACTTACACGCGTGAGCGAGTAAGAGAGAGAGAAAAGGGGAGGGGGAGAGAGAGAGAACAGTGGCAGGATTCCTCCTAAGACATTCACCTCTCCGATTACAACACGAAACATCATCTTAAAGCTCCTTAGAAGCTCTATAAAGAGATTATACTTGCACAAGTTATGTTATGGTCTCTCGGTGTGTCGAGGCATTCCCGTACGGCCCTGTCTGGCCGCGTGAGCTGAGTCCTTTGTGTGCGAGGAAGCGTCACGTGGGCTGCTTGGCGCGCGTGTTGAACGGAGGTTCACAGTCTTTGGGGTAACATTACCAAAGGGAAATAGTTCGGCTAAGTTCGTTTCACTTCGTGGAAGTGAACTGAGTCAACTACGGAAAACAAAACTTTGACTAACAAAAAAGAAATAAAGATCTCTACGGGGAAATCACGCGGAGTTAACGTTACATCTTTGCATGGCTGGTGAAGAAGCGCGTGCGTCGCTCGGTCCGGCGCGTCACGCGGTCACGTGCGCGTGTTTCTCCTTCAAAGCGAGTGCGCGCTCGTTTAAAGGTCCCTTGTAGATGGATTTGCTGAAGAGATATGTCACGGGGTTTTCTTTTCAATCGTCGATTGGAATTAAACACAGAGACTTATCTACAACTGAAAAACACAAACTAAACTAGAAACAAAGAAAAGAAAGGCGAAGAGCTCGCCCGGAGGCGAGACGTTACATTATGACACGAGGACAAGGGAGGAAGAGAGCGAGCGGAGGGGGGAAGCGTCATTTATCACTTTTGGAGAAATCCAGCCTCTTCCTGTCGGCTTGGCCAATTAGAGGGTTGGAATTCACTGGCGGGACTTTGGGTTTTATGGCTCTTTGTCTCAGAGAGAGACATTTGAAACCCTAATTTCGTCGGGTGTTTAAGAGCAGAATCTTCACAATGATTATGGTCCTATGTGTCACAAAGTTTTAGCAAGATGTGATATAAATGGCTAAATGGGAAACGAAGATTGGAGCTCAGAGAATCCAAACTTGCCTCACATGGAGTTGGTTACTCACAGTTTGCAAAGTTTGAAACCTTATCCCATTAGAGTTTTCGAGAAACATAGACCAAACCACAGAAAGGCAATTCATGAAATAGGGAACTTAGATACAATGTTCATGCAATTCTCAAGTGGATATATAATATATATATATATATATATATATATATATATATATATATATATATATATATGTATATATATATATATATATATATATATATATATATATAGAATACAGGATTCATTTCTCCTCCTTGGTTAGAATTCAGAGAGAGCCACAGTTCTGTGAACATTCAATGTGACATGGGCAAATGGACACACATAAAAACACATCGAATATCTGGTTAAATGTCTTTTTAAAAAGAGAAGTTTCCTTCTCTTGAACATCAAATTCCAAGTCAGTCATAAAAGTGTCTCGTGACTGGAAACCACGCTCTGTCCTGAGCAGGCTTCACTTGTGGGGGATGTGTGGGTGTGTGTGTGGGTGTGTGTGTGTGTGTGTGTGTGTGTGTGTGTGTGTGTGTGTGTGTGTGTGTGTGTGTGTGTGTGTGTGTGTGTGTGTGTGTGTGTGTGTGTGTGTGTGTAAATTTACATTCCATGCTTTTTGGGTCTTTAGCAGGATGTATTTAGTCCTTTCAGATTCACCCTCGCCCAGTCCTTACACCTTTTCCATATGGGACAGCGCATGCAACAGTGATATCACAGGCCCTGTCTGGGGTGACCCTCAGGTGGTGAAGGCACTGGAAACGGGACTTAAGAAGGCCAAATGCCATTTCTATTCGGGCCCTTGTTCTTGCATTGCCAAGATTATATGTGCATTGTGCTGCTGTCTGGGGGTCTGCAAAGGGTGTAAGTAAAAATGTCTGACAGGCATAACCCTTGTCTCCCAGCAGCACACCAGAGAATTCACCTGAGAACACAAAGTGTTATGGTTACATCAACGTAGAGTAAAACCTTTGACAATGTCATGATGGTCAAGATGCTCATCCAAACAAATTGGGTGGCTTACCTTGTGATAGTCGCTGGTTAATTGCAGAGGCCCGAAAGACTCGGGAGTCATGGACTGAGCCAGGCCACTTTGCCTCGATATTGCTGAAGATGCAGTCAGCATCACAGATCATCTGAAGCAATAAATGTTGAGGTCATTTAATGCACATAATAAATGTATGTAGTTGATAGTAGGTCTAATCATAACCCACTCTTACCTGAACATTGATACTATGAAAGGATTTTCTGTTAACAAAATCACCTTCATGTGCACCAGAGGGGTGTTTTATCCTAATATGTGTGCAGTCCAGCGCACCAATAACATTAGGGAATCCTGTATCAAAAAAGGAAAGAAAAGTATTCCACCTGTTCTAAAGTTTCTTTTGTGACGTGTAGCCTAATTCATGTTACCTGCAATGTTGTAGAATCCCTCCTTGATATAGTTCATTCTTCTGTGGCCGGGGAAGGTTATGAAGATGTGCGTATATCCTTTTAATGCCAAATACACACTTCTGACGGTGCGGCAAATAGTGGCTTTGCTAAGATTTTCAGCATCTCCTACTGCATATAGGCCAATTATATGTTTGTAAACATTCGGGATGCGCGCGCAACATGGTTGCAGAAGAGAGAGCGCGGGAGAGGAGTTAGCTAGCAAAATAATACGTTACGTTATACACATAGTAGTTAGATATCAACATTACATTTTATATTGATTAGATGGTACATATTTAAAATGTTCTCCGCGTACTACAACAGCTTGTCGCCCAGCGATAAGAACTGTTATTCAGCTAAGCTTACCTTAATGAGTGGGATACGTCTTACAGATCCGTTTGCCATAGAGCCTTGTCAATGGTCAAACGACGAAACGAAATGGCCAAGCATTCAGTGGCCAGAAATATATAATTACCTGATCGACACTCCAAGTGTTTATACCCAGGAGAAGTTGAAAGCGTACAAATCTCTTGATGCCTATAATTTTGTTCTGTGTGGTCATGTCCAAGACATACAACTTCATGATTACAAAGTTCAAAACTTCGTTGTGCTTAAGACGGAGGTTCTGCCTAGTCAAAGACAGGGTAAGAAGACGGAGTTGTACAAGGCCTGGGTTATCGTCAACAAGACCAACAACTGTATTCTGACTGCAAACTGCACCTGTATGGCTGGGTATGTAACATAAGACATTTATGAAATATTACATTTTATTATTATTTATCCAACCCAGTATTTGTCAGTAAGATAATCTAACTCAATTTCACTGCTTATTTGCTGAAATCATACAGCTGCTATTGACATGTATAGCCTAATGCACCACTTACACCAATGTGTTTCATTCATTAGATAGCTAGGAATAAATAATTTTGTGCAGGTTAGGGTCATGCTGCAGCCATGCAGCTGCCCTTATGTTTAAAGTTGAGCTGTGGGTCAGGATGGGAAAGACGGAGAAGTGTTGTACTTCAGGGACAAATATGTGGCTCCACTCATCCAAGAGAGAGGTGAAGCCAGCCAGACTGAGTAAGATCAGCTTCAGAAAGCCTAAGAGGACAGACACCCAACTGCAGCCAGCCAGAGCAAAGCGTAGAAAGAACAATGTGAAAGGTAGACACATTCTGAATTTAGACAAGATCAGGCCATGTACATATAACAAGTTAACAGCAGGTATAAATGATCTATTTATAATCTTATATTTATAACTTTTTTTAAGCCATTACTATCACGTCATTCATATAAAAATGTTATAACCAGCACCAAAGTACCATTTATAACATGTAACCAGCTGTAGTTGCAATTTGTATTAAAATAAGTTATCTAACTTATATTTTATTGTGTATTTAGAGCTGACAGATGAAGACATAGCATAATATATTTATAACCTTATATTTATAACTTTTTATTAAGCCATTACTATCACGTCATTCATATAAAAATGTTATAACCAGCACCATAACATATGTAACCAGCTGTAGTTGCAATTTGTATTAAAATAAATGTGTATTTAGAGCTGACAGATGAAGACATAGCAGATCTGAAAGTCTTGGCACCTAACGCAGCTGTGCTTACTAGCATGGACTTCAGTGACACTGATTCTGCATCCGAATCCGACACAGAGACCGGAGACCTGCCAGAGCCACTGGTAGCTCTGTATGATGTCACTCTGAGAGGCCTCTGCCCAAATAAAATACAAGAGAGAAGTGAAGATACCTTTGCAAAACTGGGGCGAGAATTAACTAACGAGCAGTGTGTGAACCTTGAGTTTACAACTAGAAACCAGTCCCAGTCTCAGGCCTGGCACACACACAGAACTGGCAGGATAACAAGCACAACCCTACATCGTGTCTGCACTGTAGAAACCGAAAAGGCAAAAACAAACCTTGTAAAACAGGTTATGCACTACAGCAATCAGGACTTGTCCCATGTCCCAGCAGTACTTTGGGGAAGAGATATGGAGGACACAGCCAGGAGACAATACACAGAAATAATGAAAACACAACATCACAACTTTGACGTGGAACTCTGTGGTCTTGTTGTGAGGCCTGACAAACCACATCTTGGGGCATCGCCGGATGGAATGGCACACTGTACCTGCTGTGGGAAAGCAGCTGTAGAGATTAAGTGTCCATACAAATACCGTGATGGTCTGATGGGGAGCAGTGAGGACACACAGTTCTGCTTAGACAAAGCACTACACCTAAAGAGGAATCATGAATACTATCATCAAGTTCAACTTCACATGTTTGTATGCAACATCCAGTACTGTGACTTCGTAGTGTGGACAAAGCAAGATGTCACTATCAATCGCATCAACAGAGATGAAGAAATGCTGCAAGCAGTCCTGCCGAAAGCTGAAGTGTTCTTCAAACAGTGTGTTTTGCCTGAGCTGTTAACGCGCCGCATGGATCCACTGATGCAAGCACCTACAGTCTGCCCACACTGTGAAAGACCAGACTTTGGGATGATGATTGACTGTGCAAAGTGCAAGAACCATTTCCACTACACATGCGCCAGAGTAAGGAGAAAGGTTGTGGAGTGGTACTGTGAACAGTGCAAAAATTAATGAGTCAGAATGAAGTGTAAATAGAAACAAATTATTTAATACACACTAGTATTTTACATCAAAGCACAATCAAATAAAAAAAATGTACAGCAATAATTATTACCAATATAATCAATTATAAATACATTAATATAATAATAATAAATATAATATAAAAATGTATACAGAAAATCTGATTATCTGTATTAATTGTTCTTCTATTTTATTTATGTTTTGGGTCTGCCCTTTTTTTTACTTGGCAAGGCTGCTATCACTATATCAGTTTGGTTTTGATAATACTGTTTTCTCTGACATTTTCATTTGGACTATGTTAATATGTTTGTTTTGTTTTTTCAAATTAATTACATTTTTGTTGTTATTGTTAAAATTATTATATATATATATATATATATTATATGTACATATGTATATTATTACTCATAGTCTATTAATGTAATTTACTTAATTGTTCAGTGATCCTTCTCTGTTTTGTTGCGGTCACCACCACCTAAAAAATAATAATTAAAAAAAAAAAGTTAACCACTCCAAGTTATCTTCTTGGGACTATGCATTTACAGAGGTTTGTTAATGCTCCACACACAATCACCATGTCATCTAAGAGGTCAACCTGTGTGAGTGGAATAACAGTTGTCAGAATTTTGAAGTTTTTCCATCTACCAATTACTCTTTCAATGTGTATTCTCACATTAGACAAACGCCTTGATGTGTCAACTTCTTGAGCAGAGAGCTGCTTCCTACCTTTGGTAAAGTGAGGGATCTTAAGGTTGGCACCGCGTGTGGCAAGCTCATCTCTGATGGTAAAACCACGATCTGCTAGAATCTCATCATTATGCTCTAGAAGGTCATAAAATCCAGACTCTGCTGTAATTTGTTTATCGGAAACACGCCCGCCCCAACCTGCCGACAGAAAAGTAATGGCTCCTGCAGGTGACATGCCAACTAAATATTTTACAGTGTTGTGGCTTTTATAAGTTGAGTACGTCTGGGCTCTGGAGGTTAAATTTGTGGGTCTGTTTATAAAAATTTCTGTGCAGTCAATAATGCACCTGCAACGCTTATATTTAGGTTTAAAACATTTTGGCATATTCTTTAATATTGCATACTTGCTTGGCCACTTAATGAGAGGTTTTAAAGTCGCAGACATGACAGGGAGCCAACTTCTCAAAATTTTCGAGACGTCACATTCTGTGACATTAAATCTAAAAGCAATATCCTTGTTGCTGAGTCCTAATCTTAGTTTCATTAGGGTAACTAATAGATGGTCCTCTAGGTTCATAGAGCTACGCACAACCTCTACACTGCCTTTAAGTTTCTGAATCAACCACTCAAAAATGACACTGGTCAGACCTGTGAAAAACAGAACATGCACCGCTTTGCTCTTGATAGAGCTAAAGGAAAACTGTGTTTTTCTGAGTGTTTCCTTTAGTTCCTCCTTCTCTGATTTCAGTTTGTTGATCTCTGAACGCAGGTTGACACACTCTGCAGAAAGTTGGCTGTACTTGAGTTTCAGCTCATCATGGAGAACCATCGGGACTGTGGCTTCTGAAATACAGAGTAGATTGTTGTTGACTTCTAAAAGATGCACTGTTACTTGTTTTAGCTTAGATTTTCTCTATTATTTAATGTATATTTTCAGACAGCATGTGCTAAACAGAATCATTTTCAACTTTATTCACAACATAGTTAAGCTGTATTGAAAAATGTATAAACAGGGTGACCTGATTCATCATAATAGTGACTGCCCTACATTAGTTAAAGGTGCTCTAAGCGATGTCACGCGTTTTTTAGGCCAAAACATTTTTTGTCACATACAGCAAACATCTCCTCACTATCCACTGGCTGCCTGTCCCCTGAACACACTGTAAAGAAACGCGATCTCTGTAGACAGCCCAGGCTCCACAAACAGCAACAAAAGCAAACTGCGGCGACCCGCTCCCCGAAACATAACAAACTGTTCCAGCCAATGACCGACAAGAAGGGTTTGGGGGCGGGGTTTGGGGGGTTAGTGTGCGGATGAGGAGGAGGGAGGGTCTAGCTAGCCTCCGTTTTGTTTGACAATAGTTCGAACGTCAACAAGAAGTGATGTCACCCAGGATCGCTTAGAGAACCTTTAAAATGTTAGAAGTTCTTACCGATGAAAGGACCAGCACCAGGCTCCATTCTGCAGTCATCTGAGGACAGGCAAGCGGCTGAGGATTCTGATGCAACCTCATCTGTAACTTCTGTGGACAGGTGGATGTGATCTGTTGGTCTGTGTGTGGTTTCCTCTCTTGTTCTTTTCCTCTTAAATCTGATACTCAGAGAAGAGAGCAAGCAGTCAGGCCAAAATAGTTTAGTTGCTTGGTAGATCACAGAGGCTATCAGTTCCCCAAATGAAGTCAAGTGTAAATCACATAGAATCCCTCAAAGGACTTAACAAGAAAATGCAGACATAACAGAAACGATCTGGTCCAATAAATCCTCTTGGCAAAAATAATGTGACATTAAATTACTGGCCATAAATTCCCTGCTCTTCAATGCATGCAGAGAATGGATGGTGAGTAATGATGTGATCCCAGTGAGCAACTAAATGAGGTGAAAGTGACAATATTTACCTCTCAAGTTTTGCATCGCCTTTGTTTGCTTCACACTGGGTTGAGTAGGAAAAAACAGACGGGACAAAGTCAGGACTACTGAAGTCCATGGACACCTCTCCTGTACAAAAAAGTTAGGTCTGTTAGTGTTACAGTTAAATTTAGTCTGCGTTCGCTATAACCGCGTTATTAGCCAAATACTAGGTACATTTGCTAGATACTAGACCAGCTAGCTAACTGTCAGGTTAACTAACGTTACCTAGCAAGACAACGTAACACAACTGAACAAAGGTAACGTTAAATTAGCTAGTAATTTAAGCTAGCTAGTCTCAAACTCATACATTGTTCGTTATTCTATTGTTAGATAAGTGTACTTAATACATAAAGAGTTTTTGTTGTAAACTAAATCGAGTGATGATGTGGGTGATTTAGCGCAGCTTACCTGATATGAAGTGAGAACTGCAGAGTCGGGCGTTTTTAATTAGGTTGTCGTTCCAGTCGATTCTTCTGAGGGCTTGTAACCAAAGACGTCTGCGGTTGGCGTTAAAAGGAGTGTGAGTTGATGGTATTCGGTAAAACCTCAGACCTTTGTTTACAGATTTTCGATTCTGGCAACCCACTGCACAACACGACATTTTCCCGGGTTTGTTTCAGCGGCCAGCTTCTGCATCCGACATGCGCAGTTGCACCTGGGTGACGTCAGTGTGACGTAGTGTGATAATTCCCCTATAGGAACATACCACTAGCGAAAAATCTGAGCCCAATACAGATCATCTGTGAAATGGTCAAGGCATGGCTCCGTGCGGTGCGGTGCTGAATTTTGGGACCCAACAGTCTGCACAGGTAGCGGATGCCATCCCCAGAAAAGCGGTAACGCTCTTGCAGGTAATTGTCGGGAAAAGCCAATGGGTCGGACCTGTCCCGAAACACTCTTTCACGTCTGAAAGCCCTTCTCAATATAAGTGCTTCATCATCTACGATGTCATCCAAAAATGGGCATGCCATTGTAAAGGACGAAACATGTGTTTAGAGCTAATTATATTGTGTCACGGTTGGTAAATCCTACGTTTTCTTCTTGTCTCGTGTTTCTGTTGTTATATGTCAGCGCGCTGATTAGATGGGCGTTCTGCTCGTCAGCGTTCCTCATCTATCAGCTCATTATTGTCACAGTGTTGTGTTATGTTTCCCTGTGTTGTCACTTGAGGTCCTCGTTCTCACGGTGTCTTTCACGTTTGACTTCATTTCCCAGCATTCTGTCTGTCACTCATCAGTTCATTGCACTCAGCTGTTTCCCGTCACCTTGTTAGGTCTGTGTGTATATATTCCCTGTCTGTGTTAGTGTTCATTACGGAGTCCTTGTTTAATGTCGTCACACTTCTGTTCCTGTTTGCTGCCTGTTCTTGTTCGTGTTTTATGTTCTTGGATTGATTTATTGGATTTTGACCATTTGCCTGAACTGATTGTGAGTACGGATTACCCCAATAAATTAACTGCACTTGGATCTCTCTCTTTTGTGTGTGATCCGTGACAGAAGGACTCCGTCACCTAAGAGATCCAGCATGATGGGGTTCCGTATCCTCCCTCCTACCACGGAGAAAGAGAGGATGGGGCGTGTCCAAAACTTGATGAGCTTTCGTCAGCAGGGCCTGCCGGTGGGTTGCATAGCTCAGTCATTTTGGACGCTCTCGAGGGGAATGGGATACAATGAGGCAGCATTAAAAGAAATTTTTAATACCTGTCTTGATGACCCATTGCCGGGGTGGGAGATAAAGGGTCTGGAAGTCTTGGATTTTTGGGGTTTTACCAGATACCTTGAGCATCGAAGTCAGTGGGATACAGCAGTCACGTCTGGGTCTCCTGAGAAGATGACCGACACACCTGAGCCGGTGAGTGGAACTTCCCCTGAGGCGGTGGGCTCGATGCTACCGTCTTGCCATCGTAGGCGGAGAAGGAGGAAGAAGGTCACGTCTGCCGATCCAGAGACTGTTCACGTCACGTCTGCCGATCCAGAGACTGTTCACGTCACGTCTGCCGATCCAGAGACTGTTCACGTCACGTCTGCCGATCCAGAGACTGTTCACGTCACGTCTGCCGATCCAGAGACTGTTCACGTCACGTCTGCCGATCCAGAGACTGTTCACGTCACGTCTGCCGATCCAGAGACTGTTCACGTCACGTCTGCCGATCCAGAGGCTGTTCACGTCACGTCTGCCGATCCAGAGACTGTTCACGTCACGGAGGTCGTCCCTGAGCAACCTGATCTGCCGGCCCCGCCCGAGCTGCTCGCCCTGCCGGCCCCGCCCGAGCTGCTCGCCCTGGTTCCTGTGCCTGAGCCAGAGCCTGTGCCGGAGCCGGTTTCTGAGTCTGTTCCAGTGTCCCTAGACAAGATGGCCGCCGCTGGGTCGGTGTCTGTTCCTGAGCCCTGGCCGCCCGAGGGGTCTTCACCGCCCTGGCCGCCCGAGGGGTCTTCACCGCCCTGGCCGCCCGAGGGGACTTCACCGCCCTGGCCGCCCGAGGGGACTTCACCGCCCTGGCCGCCCGAGGGGACTTCACCGCCCTGGCCGCCCGAGGGGTCTTCACCGCCCTGGCCGCCCGAGGGGTCTTCACCGCCCTGGCCGCCCGAGGGGTCTTCACCGCCCTGGCCGCCCGAGGGGTCGTCACCGCCCTGGCCGCCCGAGGGGTCGTCACCGCACTGGCCGCCCGAGGGGTCTTCTTCGCCCTGGCCGCCCGATGAACTTTGCGTCTCGCCCTGGCCGCCCGATGGACTTTGTGTTTCCCCCTGGATGACCGGTAGACTTTTTGTTTTGCCCTGGTCCCCGGTTAAACCCTCACCCCTGGTTCCTGTCTCCCTTCATGGACCTGGCCCACCTTCCCTCCCCCTGATCCTCCACCATTCCACCCCCCACCTGAACTCTTGTTTTGTTTGTGTTTAGTCTTGGAGCGTCTGGTAGCCGCTCCGTAGAGAGGGGGTTATGTCACAGTGTTGTGTTATGTTTCCCTGTGTTGTCACTTGAGGTCCTCGTTCTCACGGTGTCTTTCACGTTTGACTTCATTTCCCAGCATTCTGTCTGTCACTCATCAGTTCATTGCACTCAGCTGTTTCCCGTCACCTTGTTAGGTCTGTGTGTATATATTCCCTGTCTGTGTTAGTGTTCATTACGGAGTCCTTGTTTAATGTCGTCACACTTCTGTTCCTGTTTGCTGCCTGTTCTTGTTCGTGTTTTATGTTCTTGGATTGATTTATTGGATTTTGACCATTTGCCTGAACTGATTGTGAGTACGGATTACCCCAATAAATTAACTGCACTTGGATCTCTCTCTTTTGTGTGTGATCCGTGACAATTATCCCCTCACCAGCTGCAGCTTGTCAGATCATGTGTATTTATACTCACCACTTTCTCATCTTCCCTGTCAGATCGTTGTATGTGGTTTCCCGGTGTGTCTGTGTTCCTGTCGCGTTCCAGTCTCTTGCCTTCCTTGTTCCGGTTCTCGTTCTGTGGATTTTCTGGACATTATCGCTCATTGGACACCTTTCACCGCACCTCTGCTTCACCTTCCATCTGACCATCGGAGTTCCTGCGCCACCTACCTGTTTGCCTGTGTTGGACTCCCACACTGTTACTACCTTTAAATAAAAGAGTTAAACTGCACTTGCTTCCGTCAGTCTGTCGTGACTAGGGTTGGGTACCGAAACTCGGTGCCAATAGGGAACCGGTTCCGACGTAAACGGTAGTAACCAGACCGAATAAGAAAGAAAATTTCGGTGCCTGATTTCGGTGCCTAACTTCATTAGGCACACACGCGCACACACACACACACAAGGTCTCTCGCTCTCTCTCTCTCCGCCTTGCGTGTGCTACACAGTTTGGAGCACAGTTTCTTCTGTCTCGCATGCGCGCTCTTTCTCGCAAGGTTTGGCTGCATTTCACGTGTAAAATTACGTGTCAGAACGCCCTCTGGGTGTGCCGATAGTCTGAATCCCATATAGAATCAAGCCAATTCATTGGCTGATGGCGCCGCATCGACGCACTTACGTCGTCATACTATGCTGTCGCGCGCGCGCCATCTGCTCCTCAGATTTCTCTGCCGAAAAAGGAAGCTGGTCGGCAGCGCGAGGAGCTTGGCTGCGTCCCGTTCCCTATTGAGAGATATGTTACACCAACCAGAGATGTTCTCTTTCATAGGTTCACTCAACGCTGCGTAGCTAAGAAGCAGTGGATTTGTATTTGTAGGCTGCTGTATCACGTGCCGTTTGAACTGACGCGCTACAGCGATCTGTCACATTTCAAAGAGCCAAAACGTTATTTATTGTGTGAATCTCGTAAAAATATTGACAGAATCTGACAGCTGTGGATTTGTTCCATATCAAAAGTAACCTTCTCTGTATTGTCTGTCAGTGTCCTCTTTGTCCGCGATTTTTCTGTGTGAAAAGGGTCATTTGCGTGAGTCTCACGGTCAATGCGTGAGAGTTGGCAGCTCTGCCTGCTAGTAATCTCTATTAATCTCCAGTATTATTACATTGTTTGATACAATATTGTTTCATTTGATATTATGTAAATATGAATTTTTATTTTATATTGGTTTTATTATTACCATATGTTACTTGTATTTATATTGTTTAAAGATTTAAGTTAATATTGTGTCCAGTTTGGCCCTGTAAATTAAAGGGTATTATTTTTTGATAAAGTGTGTGCGGTTTCATTTTCTTAAGTACCGATTTAAGAACCGTTTAAGCACCGGAACCGTTTAAAAAATACCGAGTAGGTACTGGAATCGGATAAAACCCAAACGATACCCAACCCTAGTCGTGACATAACGATCTGACCATCAAACATGGAAGCAGCAGGAGACCCTTCCTCATCACTAGAGGCGTTTCTGAGTAACAGCAGTCAAAGAATGGACATCCAGGAAAAGAATATCAATGATACGGCTCGTGCTGTTCAGGCTTTAGTGGCGCAGGTGTCCGGGCTCACCCAACAGATTCAACAGCTTCGCGTGCCCGCTGCGCCACCCGCACCGCCAATTCCCCCACCACCACCAGCGGACCCATCCCCGTCAGAGCCTCGTCTACCAGTCCCTGAGCCATATGCAGGTGAACCCAATTACTGTCGTGCGTTCTTAACCAGATGTGATATGCACTTTTCTCTCCAACCTAGAACCTTTCAGGAGGAGCAGACCAAGGTCGCATTTGTTCTGACGCTTCTGACGGGGAAAGCGGCGCTATGGGGAACGGCGGTGTGGGCTAACCAAGACGACTGCTGTTCCTCGTTCCAGCGGCTCTCCGAATAGATGCGGCGGGTTTTCGACCGGGCCGCGACGGGGAGAGAAGCTGCCAGGGTGCTGGCCGAACTACGACAAGGAGAAAGATCTGTATCAGAATTCTCGATCGAATTTCGCACCCTGGCAGCTGAGAGCCAATGGAACGAGGAGGCGCAGTGGGACATGTTCCTGCATGGGCTGGCTGACCGCGTCCAAAGAGAGATTTACGCCATGGACCTGCCTACCGGACTTAATGATCTGATCGCGCTGGCACTAAGAGTGGAAAATCGTCTATCACGAGGCACCAGACGTTTTCAACCGGAACGTCCCTCTGGAGGTGCCGAGGGAATGCGTTCGGGAGGCAGGGTCGCGGTCAGCCCCGTCTACGATCACGAGCCC